CTTTAAAGTTGCTCATATGTTCTGCCTGCTAGCTGTTGAAGAGTGAAGTGCGTCGCCTGGAGCGAAACCAGGAGAGGGAGAAGAGTGTGGCTAACCTGGAGTATCTGAAGAACGTCCTGCTGCAGTTCATCTTCCTGCAATCTGGCAGCGAGCGGCAGGCGCTTCTGCCCGTCATTTACACAATGCTGCAGCTCAGTCCAGAGGAGAAGAGCAAACTGGCTGCCATTGCACAAGGTGTGAACTATGTGAAAAGGTTTTGTGAAACTGAAATATACTGCTTTGTGTTGCACTATAGAGCATGAAAAAGGGTTATACATAGAAACTAAATACAAACAACATATTTATTTAAGTATGCTAGCAATCTGACCGCTGATCAAACAGATCATAAACTGCTTTGTAATGGTATTATGGTGTTGTGATAGTCGTTCTACTCCAATATATTGTAGATATAAGTGTCTAAGTAATTGTATGTAGTATCACACAGCCATTATTTCCATTACTTATTTCCATTACTTCATACTGTATCACACACACAGCATCTGAGAGGACATTGTCTGTTATTATCTCTTGTTCTGTTCCTATACAATATGTAGATTTAATTTTTCTCTCCGTGTTATTGGAGTACTACAGGACATGCTGGCAAAAATGTATCCACAATTTATAACCAGGTTTTATTTGATCTCCTTTTTTGCAGGTGGGGAAGAGGGGCCCGGGACTCGGGGCTCAGGTTGGTCCTCTTATCTCCACAGCTGGTCTGGGATCAGGTAGACTTGATGATCAACCAACCCGAGAAAAACAATATAAGGAGGAGGAGGAGGAGGAGGAGGATAAGATGTTACTGGGCCTTTTTCTGTGAAAACCTGTACTAAGCAGCGATGCTGTACATTCGAAATAGTGGCGGGAAGTTAAACTGGGGCATTTACAAACCTTTTTCTGGGACACAAAAGAAGGGACCAAGGAATGTATCAGAAAATAATGAAGTGTGTGGTAGAGATGAAACCAAAACATTTGACATGAATATTGATTTGAATTTGCAGTGCAATAGTTAGTCTCTTACCACTGAATGTTAACTGTGACAAATTTCTGTCTTCCTTACTCTAACTATTGACAACAATATTTACTGGACACGAGGGTTACGCCTCCTGGAGCTCTTAAGGCATTACGAAGCATCGCTAGCACTATTGAAACATTGTGAGTGTGTACAATACATCATATCTATATCATGTTATATTCACAACATTGTATAATGCACATGTATAGTGCACAAATTACAGGAGGAGGATTATTCAAGGGTTAGTTAGTGACATGATTTCTTAAGATTTTACTTGCACTTGTAATTGTCTTGTACTGTGTAGCACAGTACACTTAAAGGATTATAGTAGAGTTTTAGCTCTTTTGGTGCATTTCTTTCAACAATTTCAAGGACATACTGAAGCGTTAAAATATTTTTTTTTGTTTTTCTTTAACTACCTAGAGGCAGCCATTTTCTTGTATTCCTTGCAGTGTGAACAATAACAGGAAACTTGCTCAATATATCAGAATAAACATCATCTCAACATTTATTTTTTTTTAACCAGTTGTTGCCTTGAAGGTAGAAAAAAGACAAACATAAATGCAACACGCTTTGGAAAACAATCACCGGTAGTGTCCAGTACTTGTGATTTAGTTAATGGCCTAAAACCATTCACTGTATCATTAAAACTAGACGTAGAGTCCGCGACGTAACCCATCGGTTTCTGAAGAGCCGATGTGAAGCTCAGTGTGGTCGGCTCCGGTCGTCTTTATCTTGGCAGTCCCGACTTTGCCGGCTCCTGATCCAAAAATGGGCAAAGACGTGGAGCTGAGGCGGGCTGAATGAAGCCAGGTTAGCTATTTAACTTTAAGCCTTGATATATTTTAAACAGGTGAGTTCTGTAAAAATTCACCCAACTTATGGTTATCATAGATGGAGGAAATTAGATATAGAGACCAAAACTGTTTTTTTGTACGAGGCTGTAAACATGTTTAATCCTGCTATAAATTTGGGCATTTTGATATGGGGGTTTATGAAGATTGACTCCCATCTGTAGCCCGCCTCCAGTGGCCGTTTGAGGAACTGCAGTTTGTTTTACTTCCATTGTTGGTTTCATTTGCAGCCACGGAGGTTGCTGCTTGGCTAAAGCATGCTAACCATCCAGTGTGATCCATTTAAGTCTCTATATCTCGATCATAATCTGATTTATAATACAAAAAAAAGTGCATTTCTACATTCTCAGGTTCACCTGACCAACATGACTGACAAAACATTATTATAATAGCATATTTATGCTTTTTTTTCTTTTGTTGTTGTTGATTAATGCTCACATTCTTAAATCAATTGGAGTTTCTTTGGTTTTTGATTGATCATATCCTGTAGCGATGGTTGATGTGTGATTTTGTTCTGGTTACTGTGTAATTTTGTTGTTACTGATCGTTGTGGTTGTTATTTAATGCCAAATTATTATTATTTTAATGGTTTCTGTGTCTTTTTTTTGGGAATACTTTCTGTTTTTAGTCTGTTGTTGTGCTGCTGTTTAATCACTGGGCATGAAAGATTTGTTTCAGCATCATCTGTACGGCTGTCTTGTTGAAGGACGGTCGCCAAGACGGCAAGCATATCCACCCTGCTAAAGTGTCCTTGAGCAAGACTCCCTATCAGACCCATGGGTGCTGCTTTTTCACAGTGCCTGACCACGACCTCTGTCCTCCCTGTAACACACACATCCACCCACTGTTTCATCACATAAATAAATTATTTTTTGCTCACATCCTACCAATGAAGAAGATAACCGGCTTGTTTATTTTCTCATTCCAGCGGCAGCTTTTTGTGATTCCTTCAGCACAAGTGAATGTATTTGTATCGAATGCTTTTTATATTCATGTTGGGTAACGTCAGCAGAAGCTATGAGAGATTACTGTAAATATAAAATGTGTATCTGTATGAGAATTAAGGCGTGTTTACAGTGTTTTAACTATTTCACTGTAAAACAACTTGTGTTTTTTTTTTTTTCTGGTTATTTCCAACTGTAAACTAAAATAAACATAAACATGGATGAAAATATTTCCAGTTATTTTGTATTCAACCTTTGCTTATTCATTCATTATAATGCATTTTGATATAAAACTTTGCATCTACAGGTCATTATAAGCATCAGCAGTGGGGTGTATTTTCTTTAAACGAATCACAATCAGCATTAATTCAGCATTACGGTTTATATGTCTTGCTGAAACAGTCATGATAAATACATAAAGAGGGATTGCAAGATAGACATAAAAATATCCATCTTTTCTGACTTGTAAATCTTTTTATTGCTCTGACGTCTCAACTTCATGCTCAATCTGTAGTGTGAACTCATGTATCCAGTTTCTTTGTAGTTGTGCATTTATTTTCCCTGCTATGAAAGTCCTCATCCCTCTTTCAGGGAGGGAAGGGGGTGTAGGAGCTCTCCTTTTAAGGAAATATATGTGGTTTCTAGTATGATGACGCAGTCCGGGAAGGAAACAACAAATAATAACTACTGTATCTGCCTCTGGAAGGGAAGGGTAAAGGTGCTATTAACTGCTTCTACCTCTCTAGGCAGCACTATCATTAACACCTCGCCTTAATATGATTCAGTGCTTCCTATTAGTTATTGCTATTCATTTTTATCATCCAGTCTTATTCTAGTAGTAGTAGTAGTAGCATCTTCTTTTCATCAACTGTGTGTGTAATATAACTTGTGGATGTTTTAAATCAAATAAAAGGAGGTTTCTTCACGGCTCCCACTCGCCATGTTGAACTTCTGTATAGTTTCCGGTGTCTAGAAAATAAAAAAGTCAGAGTTTCCATATAAACTGATGCTTCATATGTAAGTGATACAAGACTACACAGGGTGCAGGAGTGGCTTACTGCGTGAATACAAAGACACATACACGTTTAGTCTGTTGATACTAACACTTCTTGCATTGAGCTGTGCAGGGCGGGTCTTGCCGTTTTCTGGCTGTAAAAGCTCAATTGTAATTCTCCAGCGGTGGAAGCTCACAGTCTGAATGAGAAGCTGCAACAGATCAACAGAGAAACAGTCAACCAGCGCTCTGCCCTTCACAATAAAAGCACAGGTTTTAAGTCCGTCTGGGTTATGGGCTGGTTACCTGTGCACAGTGTTTGCATATCTACTCCCAAAACATGCAGTACGTTTGTGGTCCTGAATATTAATGGCTCTGGCCATTTCGAGGCCCTAAACATGATTTGGTTCCCTGACTTCCTCGCTAAAACTCTGATCTGTAAATGATTGCCACATAGACTAACATGATGTTATATTAGACCAAAAGATAAAATTACAAACAAAACAAAGAGCTGCTGCTGCCACAAAAAACATAAAGTGCATCTCTTCCTGTGTGCAGGAGACCTGTCATATATTAGAACAGAAAATAATAATAAAAAAAAACCTTTCATGGTTGCAAGTAGGCCCTTTTTATATCAGATGTTTAAAAAGAAAAACACAAGTGTTACTGTTAAAGTTAACCAATGGTCCCATTACAGTGTTCCAGTGAGCCAGTATGCACAATACCAGGACCCTGAGACTGAAGCAGCTATGTTATCTGTGCTTTTCCCACTGTGACATGTCAAAATGCACATATGTGTTATGTTGTTGTGATATGTGTCTTTATACTTATTATTCTATGTACTTAATATGTTGTTCACATAAACATCAACTGAAGTAGTTTTGTAAAACCATTACCTATTATGTATCATGTAGAGGAATGGTTCCCAACCTGGGGCTCGGGCTTTTAATTTGAGGGGTGTAAGAAAACTTTACACATTAGCCCTATATCTTAGCGTTTTGTTCATTTTTGTGAAGAAAACTAAATTAAATTGTTATTTTAACCTTGTTAAGTTTAACTTTGAAAACACACAAGCAATATTCACAGAGTCTTCACTCTCTGATAAACAGCCTCCTTCTGCATTAGAAAAGTACGAAGTTAAAACATTGAATGTGTAAAAAAAAAAAGATTGTTAGAAATAACATTTTAAAAAAAACATAATACAGACAGAACTGTATAAAACATTCCTCAAAATATCAGGAAAACTTTACAGAAACTTCCTGAAATATCCATAAAATATGTCACTTAGTCAGGGCTCATCAGTTTACTCAATGATATAAAAAATAAAATATGAATAAGTGTATATGTTTCTATTATTTTGATTTTGTTAGAATAAGATAAGATAAGATAAGATAGGATGGACTTTATTGATCCCACACTGGGGAAATTCACAGCTCCAGATAAGCACATTAAATAACAAAATAAAACAGAAAAATAAAAGACATGAAGAAAAAAAATAGAATCAGCATTGTATGTACATGTATTAGCATCTTAATTAAAATGTTGTTAATTTTATTTACTTTGAAATAAGGAACCTTCTACCTGTATTTGCACATCCATTTGCACTGTTTACTGTTTGCAGTGTGTAGCTACTGTTAATTTTATTTTATACTGTTCATTTTATATATACATACATAATACTTTATA